GTAAAAAGTTCGCCTCGGCAGCCATGTCTTCGCGTATTGGCTAATTAAGTAATAGCAGTTTAAGGCACCAAAAGAAGCTGTTTTCGACTTTGATTTTTGATGCCAGATTCTCACTTCCGGTTGCCAAAAAAAATTTACGAATGATGTAAAAAATTAGATATTACACTAGAGCAGTGATGGCGAACCAATGCCACGCGTTCTACAGTCGGCATGCAGAGCCTCATCGCCAGCACGCGATTAAAATATAACTTCCTTATTCAAAAATCACAATAAAATGATACTATGTAATTTAAATAAGTGTTTTTGTCTGTTCTTGAATGTTTCACTTATTTATCACATAATGCCACTGGCATAGGATCGCCATAGAAATGATAGACATATTTATTGACCCAATTTATGACGTTTCAATTATTTGGGTTACAGCCTTTTTGTTACAGCCTGATTAAGCAGTTACAGCTTTCATCCAATGACTTCTAATACTTATTTCCCCCTTTTTTATGGCATAAAAACAGTATTTTGATAAACTGGTGCAAAATGTTTAGATCCTCCAAAACTGGGGACGTAAGGCCTTGCTTTTTAATTCTACAGTTTGTTATCCCATTTCAAAAGGTGTTCATCAAAAATTAATGACGTCATGCATGTCTTTGAATTACAGTTGTAACCTACTGGTTAACTCTTTACACCTTAAACCCTTACTTAATAACCTATCTCTATGATTGTTAATTTCTGTAATCGCTTTTGACCTTATTTCGTAATTTTATCTTTTATTTCGCGATTTCAGTTCGGTTAAGAAATTCACTCTATAACACTATGGTAACATTATTCGACTTCTTGATCACAATAAACGATGTATTTTTAATGTTTACGTGTGCAAATACGTGAGACTTCGGCAGTTCGATAGCAATATCCAAATGATAACATTAATTGCGATTACAATAAGCGTCGCCTGCTGTGCGTATTTGCAATATCAAAGATTAAAAATTGGATTTAATATATGACCTATATAATATTATATAATCGAATCAGTGTGAGCGGGGGGGGGAAATCAGTACGCGTGGAAACTATATTTTAAAGAAGGCAAAATAGCTGTCACTGTTCATCGAATATAATTTTTGTATGAAATTACGTTTCAAATTTTGGTAAATAGTTATCATTTCAGTATATTAAGTATCATTTAAAACAATGCAATACTATGCGCAATAAAAACCGACAGAGATGTGTATTTATCTCGCATCCATCATCTTCCTAAGACAATTATTTCTAAAAGTGACCAGTATTTTTGAAAAAGAGTTAAAAAGAAATTAATTGCCGGTCTAAAAACTTCAGAATATCATGCCAAAAAAGTCGTGATACTCTTTAGAAAGTTATTAAAAATGTTTTAAACTTTAAAATTTAAAAACAACAACAAAAATTCTGTTGAAATTCTGAAATAAAAACAGTATTTAGAGTTATAAACTTATAAAACTAAATTTTAATTGTTCAATAAAATTCAAATTCATCTCAGAAAGAATTACACTTGTAAAGCTTCCGCTTTTATTTCTGCATTTATTTTGTAAGCGCAAAATAGAATGAACTGGCAATATCAAAGTATTAAAAAAATGTGCAAATTGTATGTATATTTTATGACTAGCCTTAAATGTAATTTCGAACGCAGACGCTAGTATATAAAGAATTAAAATTAGAAATTTTGCTATCGATAAATAAAGATTTCTGCATACAACAGCGGTTCTCAACCGGTGGTACGCAAGAGAAAAATAAGTGGTAACCAAAGAGAGTAGTTTTAACTATTAAATTTAAAAATGTCGTGAAGGAAAAGAACAATTGATAGAAATTTCCTATGATCGAACTCTGACTGAAGATTTCAAAAATAATACACTTGTTAAACTTTTATCTAAATCTTAAAAGAAAAAAAAAAAAAGAAAAAAGTTAAAAGCGTTTCAAACAAAGCTGTTAAATTCTTATTGCCTTTTTACATAACCTTTTTGTGTGAACAAGGATTTTCTTCCACGTTCTATTTGAAATAGAAGTACAGAACAAATTTAAATTGGATCCTAATTTACGGGTAAAGTTACGTGGAATGAGACCACGCATAAAGAAATTGATCTCTCTTAAACAGGGCCAAATTGCACACTAAATTTTAGAATTAAAGTATTATAACCTAAATTTTGATAATTAAAATGGGTAACCAATTTTTAATCTAATATTTTTTATGTGCGCACATTTAATATAGCCAATAGGTTGTGCAAATGTCAAACTATATTTGGTTTTAATATTTCTATTGAGAAATTGAAAAGTAAGTAAAATGTAGTGGTGGTGCTAAAGTTTTTGAATTTTTGTTTAGATGGTATGCGTTAGTCAAAAGGTTGAGAACCGCTGGCATAGAGCGTTAGAAATTATTGCTTAAGACATTAAAACATATTTTATTTACGCTTTCATAATATCGAAAATCAGGGCAAGCGGCTTTCGGCGCCTGAGTTGATTTTCAGTTAGAAATGTGGCTTTTCAAAAGATTTTTTATTGTTAACAATATCAACAAGTAAAGTATTTAAAAAATTAGCATTTTATTTACGGATTCATAGAACCCAATGATAAGATATGAATGAATGAATTTTCACCATAACAATAAAAGGAATGAATTTTCACCATAACAGTAAAGGGAAAACTTGTAGTCATTAGGTTGTAGAGTCGAAGCAATAAACATAAAATGTCACCGATGCCCTCGTCGGGATTCGAGCTCCAGATCTCCCGATTTCTATCCGGACATACTTAAGTTCAGCTAGAAAAGCCTGAGGCGATAAGGAGAGAGAAATTATGTTTAATTCTCTCCCAGTTAAAGGGCGACTGTGCAGGCGGAGATCAGTCGCCAAATTCTAGTGGTGATGAATTAACGTCCATCACATTTGAACTTGGGCGCCACTTGTTAAGTTATTCGGATTTTTTTTTTTTTTTTTTTTTTTTTTTTTTTTTTTTTTTTTTTTACCGGGGAACATGAGAAATCAGCGATTTCTTCGCCGAGAACCTTCCGATTGCTTACCGGACGTGCTTTCCAATTACACTACGAACGCATGCAGTAAGAAGGAAGGAAATACTTTACTAACCTACAGTGAAACATTAAGCATCTTTTATTTTGCATCGGAAAATTGCCTAATGAAATAATGACAGGTAATTTGGCGAAGTTGGGAGTGTAGTAAGTAAAGCACTATGTATTTAAAAAGCTGAAGTCTTTTAAAACATGCAGTTTCGGGAAATATATCCTTTCTTCCTGCAAATCAATTAGCTACATTGTCAGTGCAACAAACTGATAGATTTGAAATAAAACCATTCTACCCGGATTCATATTCCAGCGAACAATTTGGCTGCATGGGTGTTTTTTTGTTTTCCCTACTTGTAAAGTAAATAAGAACGATAAAGATTTGTTCTCTTAAGTGACAATAGCAGGTATTATTTTTATTTGATAAAATGTGAAAGAAAATAATTGCTTGATAAAATTGCACGACGTAATGCCTGCTAGTTTTACATTTCAGCGGTGCGCGATTTATGAAATTCGGGATCTTTCAGCAATGAATTTCAGCAGCGCTTGGTTTGTAGCAATTAAGGACATCGCTCCCTCCTAGGTTCGATTTTCGGCGAACGGACTGCCTGCTTCATATTATTTCCATGTGTTACATGAATGTAGCCACGTTTCTTAGCGTGTCTTTTACGTCCTTGCCAAAGTACCACTTCGAAATTGGTCCTTTTGTTCCGGTTAATTACGGCAAAGCATGGAGGGTTATCTGCGTAAGGGGAAGGATGTCTTCGTGGAGTACTTTCTAAGAGAAACTGGCTCGTATAAACGTTACACATGGGGAAAACTACGAAAACGCCCATGCAGCCAGCCAGTTCGCGGGATTCGAACCTCGGACCGAACTACCAGTGTTCAGCGACTTTACTGCTCGGCAGCTAGTGGGCCGATTTAAGGTTGGATAAGGTAATTAAAATAGTAAGTATTTTTTGTAGCCAGTATAATATAAATTAGCCAGTAATATCAGTATTAAAATATCTATTATAATATAAAAGACGGCTGCAGAAGGAACGGCAAAATTTATTTAAGTTCCCTTTTTCAATTGAACATTTTCTATTAGAATATTCAATAAGGCATGTACAATAAGTCTTTTGTAGGACACTGTTTACCTTAATTATTATTTAATTTCTGAAAAATGAAGTATGAAAAAAATCTACAGTCATTCGATTTAAATTGCAGATTATTAAGTTATGATTTATGATGAACGAGTTGATGTAATTTTTATAATTAAGTCTAAAATTAATTTTTAAGAAAGTCAGAAATCAAGAATAATCCATTAAAAGAAGGGATTTCTCCCACGTTTGAAGGTAACTGACCTTTTCAATTCTACATTTTAGTCTTATCCATAGTTGTTAAATTAATAATCAGTTTAATTTCAGCAGTTTGATCATATTTTTATAATTTAATCAAGGTTTGTTGTAAAAGTCAATAAGAATTCTTTAGGCTCTTTTCTTTTCTTTCTCACCCCCTTTTTTTTTTAAATCAGAAATAAGATTTCCGCTTTAAACGCCTAAGTGTAAATTTTATACAACTGATATTAAACTGAAATCATGATAACAAAACATACATAAATGCGAGTAAATAAATACGAGTTCAAATGAAAAATGTGGAATTGGAAGATTATTTCACGAAATATTTTATATAAAGTGCACTCTGCATTATATAATTTGCATCGTTGACACTGAAATAGTTAAGGGTATTTCCGTTTTCCCGAACTTTCAATTTTCTAAATCGAACCCTGACGGGAAGGGGATTTTATATTCTCAGTATAACAGTATATTAGAAAACTGTATTATAATATTTATAATTAAACGGGTGACGTTTATTCCTTTTTTATAGAGTATTAATTTTTTTTTCAAATACGACTCTTCTTGTTAACTGTTTTGTGAAAATTATTTAAAACTTGTAAGTTAAAAATGTTTATTTTCTTTCATTGCAGGTATTAAAGATACAGTAAATTCTAGAAGAATTTATACCTCTGTGCATATCTATTGTGGTTGCAGATTTACTAGGCACTGTAACTCATTTTGTGTGATAATGAACCAATTTATATTATTGTTACTTCCGCAATGAAAAAAAAAAAAAAACAACATTCTAAAATTAAAATGCAATATGATGTCTGAATTGTTTTTGACTGAATTCAGAATTCTTTATTGTTGCTGATGATATCGAAGAGAACTTTCGTCCGGCAATAAAGCAGTATTTAAATGTTTTCAATATGGAAACATTTTAAAAAATTTTATGACAAATGTGATATTTTACCCGCAAGAACATTTTTAAGGAATTTTAACATTCACGAATATTTTGAAAGAAATGACATTTTTTGATGGACTTTGGTATTTCGAATGCATGTAAAACTAGCCTATTCCTATTCCATTTTATGGTTCAAATAAATTTTAAGAATTAACATAATCCAAATGACCGCAATAATGTTACTATTCGCCCTCGAACGTGACTAAACGTTCGTTTTAGGTGACAAAAAGAAGTTTTATTTTTAAAAACCCGCGGAAGTTGTTTTTCCTCGTCGGTGAAAAATCGCAACACCGGCGACATGGATGATCGGTAGCCCGCAACTGCACCGCAGACGACCCGCAATGGAAGCGAGCGACCAAATTCACTCTTCCAGCGACGGAACATACGAAGGATTCAACGGATGGCTGTTCTGGCGTTTCGAGCTCCCCGCCATCCGCGACGAAGAATTGTTCTCAGCCCTTCATATCTCGAACTCACCTGCTGGAGGTATGAGGTCTGCGAATGGATCATCCCTCAGCGCCTGCGCGTCCCAGCGTTCCCTTGGAAACGGAAATTCCAAACGCCATGCAGCGCAATACGGGGAAGGCTCCGAAGCACGTGCAGCCTCCGTCATCTCCCTCTCAACGAATGGACCCCACCAAACATACCCCGCAAAAATCGATCATTGGGAGCACGAGTACGGGTGCCGCACTGCTTGCAGCGATGGCGGAGAACACACCCTCCATAATCATTACGATGAGGAAGCATGGAACATTTCTCTCTCAAATGAACAACAGCATCCGCGAGAATGTCACGACGTGAATTTAGGTCTCGACCAAGCGTCGAGCCATTCACCGACCATGGGGAATCTGAGCAGTCAGCCCGGTGAAAAAAAAAGTAAAAATACTTCATCAAAAGATGCAGAGAGAACAGAAGCCAAGAGTAGTACTTCTAAGTTTCGTTTCGGGAAAGGTGAATCCAAGCCGAAATTATCGGCTGCCAAAAGCGATAATAGGCGTCAAAGTGATGTCAGTGTCTCCACACAAAGGAAGCGTAGATCTTCGACAGACATTGCAATTGTCGAATCTACCCCCAGTCCTGGAAGTTCCTTATCGAGTTCTGTGTATGTAGATACTCACAGCCACTTGCCAACACCCATTGAAGGTGGTGAAGATGATTCAGTTTTGGAAGGAGATTCCCAGATATTGGACGATGGCACAGCCACGCTCCAGGATGCATCGCCGGGTAGTCTTAGTGACATTACCGTCTTTTGCGATGAAAGCAAACAGGAGGTGATGTCCAATGTCCTCAAACGACCGCAACCATCTTCTTCCCAGTCTTTGCCCGGAACACCAGGAGATAGTCATCTAGAATCGAATTTTTCGACCATGGGCTTTTCCACAGTTTATGAATCGCGTTATCGTACTCACGGTGGAGAAACGGAATCGTCCTCTTACAGTAGTGGTGGGCGAGACCTTAGTACTAGCTCTTCCAGTAGCAGCGTGGATATACACGATCTTTGTGGAGCCCTAAAGGATTTTTCTCATAAGCAACAACGAGGTTCGTTTGATTCCAGTGTGCCACCATCAACCTTACCATTTACGCTCACTCAGCATCGAAAGGTGGTTCTTCCTCCTCATAAGTTTGTTGCCCCTCCTCCGTTGAGTGCTCAGAATGGTAAAGCAGCAATTTCTGGCTCTGAGGAGTGCCTCAGGCCCGCAAATTTATATGGAAATAATGTAGAACACCAGTCATCTCCTTCCCGTCGGCACTCTTCTTACGGAGATGTCCCACCGCTGGACGGGAATGTTCTACGCAAAGTTGCCTCCCTAACGTTGGACAAGGCGACAATTGATTCTAAAGTGAATCGGCCCAAGTTTGTTCCAGAAAAGCTAGATTTCAGTCTGTATGAAAAATTTGAAGGTGAGTGGAAAATCTTATTTGTTTTTCCAAATAAAACTATTTGAATTTAGTTGTTACTGAGGACAATTTTCAATTGAGAATCTTTAAAAGCACTATTGCACTCGCTTCTTTTCGTTTTCTGTAAAGTATGTTAGAGTGAAAGCCATCGAATTATTTAAACACATGCTTAGAGGTTCCAAAAGCAATTCTTTTTAAAAAAAGGAATGAAGCTAATTTGATACAAAAATTTGCTCTTAAAATACTTCGTTTTTATCTTCACGTCTAAATTTTTACGCGAAGAGGGGATGCATATCTGCTTCCGTTTTCGTCAAAATTTAAAGTCTTTCTGCATTTATTTTAAGAAACATTAATTTATTTTTAAGTGTTTGCCTGAAAACCCATGTTTGACATTCATCTGTAGATTCGCTTTTGTATCTGGAGTACTAACAGGTAGTAATAATAATGCTGTCACTGTTTTTACATGGAAATGTGTGGACTGAAGTTTCAAGTGCTTCAATCTTTTATGTCCTTAGAATAAATAAAAATGATTTTTTTTAATATGCTGTACATAAGCTTAGCTTATTCTGCTTTAAAATGAAAAACCGTAATTTTGAATAATATGAAAATAGTAAGATGAGAGTAAAAACCTCAATGCCCGTAATTAATTGAATAATTAACGTGTTAAAAATAAATAGCTTCTTGGATTTTTGTATCATTTTCTTCTCAGATGGCGCCACCATTTCTCGATGAAGTATCTTCAGCTCTTGAATTTTAACATTATGAATCCTTTGAATTAAAGTTTTATTTTATTTATTTATTTTAATTTATTTATTTATTTATTTGTTATTAAGAGTTTTATTAGACATTTTTTTTATTAAAACAAATTTCTGTAGTTCGTGTACAACTCAGGAAGGTAGCTATCAATTTGCATACTTAAAAGTTTAATATTAATGAGTTTGCATACCTGTAAAACTTGTTAATAAAATAAACCTATTTTCGTATTATTTAGCTAATTAAATAAAAATTATGAAACTATCAGTTTTCTGTTTTTCCCAAGGTATTAAAAGAGTTAAAATTTGTATTTAAAATTTTATCTTGTGTCTTGAAAAAACAATTGTGCCTGAAACTAAAAGTTTCGAAAGTGATTAGAATTTTGTCCCAAAATCTGCTGTCCGTAAACGTAGTTTGTAAATTTCAGAAGTTAAAATCAAGTGCTTCTAGTAGAAATTCTCAAAACTTAAGAAGATAAACAATTGGATACCTCGTTTATTCAACAGCTTAAACATCAAAGCAGGTCTGGGAACTGTGCATCATGGAAATACATTATGAAATATCTGTTCGTGAACGTATTGAAAGCATCTTGTTGTACTGCAGAAAGCGTACTTACTGTGAGTAGAAAATTTCTTCGACATACTTCCTTTCAGGATAGCAAATATAGAAAGACCTTTTTTTTTTAAGATGCGAGAGAAGCGGCTTAAACTGCTGAGAATGAGCCTTATGCAGTTGGTTCAACGCTCGCTGTGTAAAATTTGATAACACAATTTGTTTTATTTTTTCCCCTCATGCTGAATACTTATACGGCTCAGTTTTATTTGAAAAGACGTCTCTGTAGGCATCTTATTCTTCACAGATTGCTCTGAAGAACTTTGCCATCATTAATTAATTAAAATTTATCAATTCAACCAAGATAATATACATTTTCGAATAAAAAGAGACTGTAATACATATCAGTTTCATATCTTAAACCATACTATAGTAGAACCTCGGTTATCTGAACTAATGTGGTTCATATAATCGAGGTTAGATACCTGTCAGAGTTACAGTTATTTATTTTACGTTTATAATCATATTACTAAAAATAATGTAAATGTAGTGCCTTGAGTTAGCAACAGCTTCAGAAGAAGTTATGAAAGCTCGTCTGATTATGAATTGTAAGCTTTCGAATAATATGATCTAGTTTGATCCACTGATGAAGCAATGTAATTCAAATTTTGAAATATGCACCATGTGCAAAGCACATTTTCAACTTTAGTATAGAACATGTGCTGATTTTGTGACTGATTTCGTGGACATTATATTTGTTGCTTCCGATTCGAAATAATTATATTACTATGGTGGTCTTGGATTCAACTTTCTGAATTTTTAATGTCTGAAATCGTTTATTGACACACACTAGTCTGTTACAGGGGCATATCATGAATTTCCATAAAGAGCATGCTGCTTAATATCAGTTTTTTATCAGTGAATAACAGTGATATTTAGTAGTAACCGCGCATATTCGGCATTAATAAAAATATTTGTAGTTAAATAATGTTTTTATGATAACCCCAGAATATGATTCTTAAATAATAAATCTTCATGAAAATATTAGTAACGTATTTATAGACTTTGAAAACTTATTACTTGTATGAATATTCTTTCAGCGTACCAATAACAGAACTATAAATTAAAGACACTAGTAAATTACAAAAGAATAATACTTTGAATGGCATTTAAGTTGGAAAAATCAGACTCGAATTATTCTAATTTATTTATTAACTTAACCCTTGACGTCAAAAATTTGCAAATTTTAGAATTAAATATCTCGGTCAATATCGTATGGGAATTAAACTTTTTTATGTTTTGCTTTTTATAATAAGTAAAACATTTTCCTAAATATAAGTATGGGAAACAGAATAAAGTATGGTTAAATTTCGTATTTTTTAATTTTAAAATGCCACAACATGAATGTTTGCGTCATTTGAAACATTTCTGTAACGGAACGTATATGTCTACGACCAACGGTTGCGAAAATAAAGGTCGGGTGAGAATCTTTGTGGACACTTATCTCTAGTACAGCGTAAATATCAGCAGCTATAGTGCAATATAAACCTCAACATAGAAAAATCTTCTCTAATGTATACCTCTAGGTTAATAATAAATTTCGGCTCCCGAATGAGAAATCACTATTGGCTGAGAAGTTACGTAGGTGCCTTAAGCGTCGTTAGCGTTATGCTAGAACCATATGCCATGGCCTATTATATGGAAGACGCAGGTCAGAACGCTTTATAAGCAGTTATTATTTCTAGGACAGCGAGGGGAAGTATCAAAATTAAAATAGAGAGTTACGGGATTATTGCAAATTAAAGTTATTACTTTACCTTAGCTAATTTTTATCTATTATTTATTTTATTATATATTATTTATTTATTTATATACATAAATGAATAAATTCAAAGTAATAAAATGTGTGAAAGTGTGTAAGATACATGCATACATATAGTTTAATCCCGTCATGTGTGCAGAAGACGAAACCTAAATTTCTTCGAATCCGAATCCTAGTAGATTTTGGAATCTTTTGAATTAAGAATCTCAGACCCTTCATATAATAATAATAATAATAGTTTTGTTTAAAGTGGAATTTCAAAGATACGTTGAAGGAAAAATGGATTAAAACCGTTTTTTAAAAATGCTTGTGTATTTATTAAAAAGACACAAATGAAGTTGTATAAATGAAACACAAAATTAAACTTCTTGAATCTTTTTGCATTCATTTTCATAATTTTATTTGAGGCTCGCCAGCTGCCGAGCGATAAAATCGCTGAACTCTTGTAGTTCGGTCTGAGGTTCGAATCCCGTGAACGGGATGGCTGCATGGTCGTTTTCGTAGTTTTCTTCCATGTGCAGCGTGTATACTAACCAGTTTCTCTTAGAAAATCCTCCACGAAGGCATTCCTCCTCTTATGCAGCTAGCCTCGAGGCTTTGCCGTAATAACATAAAACATAATTTTATTTGGCGAGGGTATTGATGTTATGTATTAAATATTTTCCTTTTTTGCAAAACATTTTAAATTTAAGCCATTGCAAAAGAGAAAGATAGTTTAAAGCGTTAGATTGCCACTAAACAAGTCCACAGAAAATGGAGCCCACCAGCGGCCGAGCGGTAAAGTCGCTGAACACTGGTAGTTCGGTCTGAGGTTCGAATTCCGCGAACGGGCTGGCTGCATGGGTGTTTTTGTGGTTTTCCTTATGTGTAACGTGTATACGAGCCAGTTTCCCTTCGAAAGTCCTCCACGAAGGCATCCCTCCCCTTAGGCAGATAGATCTCGAGGCTTTTCCATAAATTAAAATCCTTAATTTATGGACATGAATTACATAAATTAAGGATAATACAAAATTATCCATAAATTAAAGATAATACAAAATCAGGCAAAGGAAGAGTTAGAAGCAAAAACAAATTTGACTTATTTGTAAAGCTTATTTATTAACAAAAAGTAAAGAGCAAAAAAAAGATGCTATATGTTTGATATATTAAAAAAATTAGCGATTTTTTTTTTTCCTCGGGAGCAAATCACAAAAAAAACCTATTTACAAAAACCAATATTACATGGTTGGATGATTTTAATACATTCTATGTCTCCCAGACGATGCAATACAGTCCGTACAACTGCTGAGTATCAAATATCGATCTGATCTTGGGGGATATTACACCACTCAAAAAGCAGTGCTCTCCGAAGTTCCGGGTAGTGTAGGTAGGAGGTTGACAACTGCAACTCGTCGGCCAAGCATGTCCCACACGGTGCACTACTGGATTTCAAGTCCGGTGAGAATGCTGGCCAGTCCATACGGGTGATATCCTCCGATTGAAGGCATTCGCTTACGATGTTGCACGGTGAGGACGAGCGTTGTCATCCATAAACAAATTGTGTGCGCCCATGGCCCCGAAACAAATGTACATGTTGTTCCTAGAATGACGTCCCGATAGATTTGGCTTGCCATGGTTCCAATTTGAACATGCAGGTCAGGTCAGTTCTGGAACCCAGAATAATTCCACCCCAAACGAGCACTCCTGCACCCACCGTAACGGTGTCGTTCAATGATGTTTTTTGGTGGTAACGGTACCTGGAGCTCTCCATATGAAAGTCCGGCGAGAATCAGACTGCAAGCTAAACCTGGACTCGTCGGAAAACATCACACAAGCCCACTGGTTGCGGTGTCCACAGTGCATGCTCCTCTCTACTCCAGGCTAACCGCAGGCGACA